TGATAATAGTAATAATAATGAGAAGAAGAAGAAGAAGAAGAAGAAGAAGAAGAAGAACAAAAAGAACAAGAAGAACAAGAAGAACAAGAAGAACAAGAAGAACAAGAAGAAGAAAAAGAAGAAGAACAAGAAGAAGAACAAGAAGAACAAGAAGAACAAGAAGAAGAAAAAGAAGAAGAAGAAGAAGAAGAAGAAGAAGAAGAAGAAGAAGAAGTTGAAGAACAACAACAACAACAACAATAATAAAAAGGATAATAATAACGATAATAACAAGGATAATTAAGGATAATGATGGTGATTATTTTCGTTTTTATTATTATAATGATAATAATAATAATAACAATAATAATAATAATAATAGCTTGTCTGTCATTGTCTGGCGATGACCAATACATCAGCAGAAGAGAAAATTTCATAAGCCAGGCCCGAGAATTGAGTTATGAAGCAAGTCTAGTCTAAGAGTAGAAGCGCATTCCTGCGTTTCATAAATCTCAGTAAATAAGAGAAAAAAACTTAATTGAAGGCTACTTTTTGCTTTGAAGTACAGGGTTTGGTCAAGTCGTTGTCCCCTCTCAAGCGTCAACTCGTCAACACATTATCGACCCCACAATGTAAGCGACTGTGAGCTAATCTCGCGGAGACCTTTGTGTTTGCAAAACACTGCCCTCCCTTCACACTCTCAAAATCGTTTTTTATTACATGTATTCTCTCAGCCGCTCGAACTGGGTGTTTTAGATGAAGAAAAACTAATTGCCTTTCTTAAGAGATTAAAAAAACATCTACATCTAGATGTGCAGAAATACGACAACTAGTAAGTGAAAAGATTAACAGATGCTTTCATACAATGTATTATTGCGTATTGTCTTCTATCAACTAGTGCCTATGATTATGTTGCCAATTATAGTCTATTGGAATTAAACTCCTGGGATTTGGCCGGCATTGCGCATGCAAATGAACACAACCCATAAATCAACAAATTTGTTCATATTTGATGTAGCATTATATAAAATGAAATTCGAGTCCCTGCTTCTAGACTTTAGAAATTTAGAGTGCCCTCCGAAGGCACAACAGTGGTAGCAAAGAGAATCTTAGAAAGTCTTTGGTACCACACGGGCAATAAAGTTATATTTTAGGCTTCGGTATAGGGGGGCGGGTCAGTGGAGTGGGAAAAGAGGGGGAAGGGGTGGGAAGGGATGGGAATGGGAAGGTCGGGAGGTTGGGGAGGAGCTTGGATAGTTACTCCAAGGGGAAGAGGGTGAATGGGGACGGGGAGTTCGTTAGGGGTAAGGTATGAGGGGTTGAAGAGGATGTGAAGGGTTTCTTTGTTCAGGGTAAGAATATATCGCCGTCTCCTCCCTCCCAGCATTCCACAGACAGAAATGGACAGTAAGCCACATAGAATCATGTGCTTTTACGACCGCCATGTACTGGTAATAAAAACATATAATGTGTAACAGGAATTCGCTTCTGCTTTTAATCCAACCACTGAGCCCGTGACAGTGTCGGGCCAGACAGTGAAGGGGTTAAAGGTTTAAAAAAACTTGTGGCGTCTGCTGTAGTCGATGAGACCAATTCTGGCAGAGAAAAGTGCCACATTTACTCAAAATGTTGATCATTTGCACTAATATCACCAGGAAAATAACCCAAGTTTGATCCTAGGTCAGGTGTTAAGCTTCAGGAAAGATTGAGCAAACGACACCAGAGCACCCGCCAACCACCCACAGTTGAGTGAACACAAAATGTGGATTCTGGCAGTGGACACACGATAGGGAGTTGCACTGACTGCCTCGCCAGTAAATAACTAAAGGGCCGAGGGGGGCATTTTTGTCACATGCATTGTTCATTCTCAGCTCCCATGATGGGTTTAACGGCGAACTGTCTGGACTATCCTCGCTCGCACGCCTCCCTTTTTCTTCCAAAATGGCTTCAGGTGGGGGAAAAAAGAAAAAAGAAGGGATGAAAATATGAAGACCAAAACTATCCGTCGTGTACCATAGGTCAACGCAGCCATTCACATTTATTTTATTCATCTTTTTTTCCCTTCATGTCTTTTACACCAACGAAGCACCAGCCGAACTACCTATGTAAGCCTATCGTTCAGTCTCTCATCTAGTTATCATTTATCAATAGTTCCACTTTACATGTATTACCTACAAATTCGTCTTTGTCTCCTTAGATTTCTCTAAACTCCCCCCCCCCCTTCTCTCTCTCTCTCTCTGTGCTGTTCGGACCATGTTCCGATGCTGTGAGGCACAAAAGGACCAAGAAAATGTAAGGAT